TTTTTTCTTTTTTTCTTTCTTTCTTGAAAATATGGTTTGACTGTAGCAGTATTCATCTAAATTATTTTTTATGTATGCTTATCTTTAAATTAGTACTCTTTATTTGAGAATATTAACCTATCCTGATGCTGATAGTACATTTCTAAATACAAAACGTATTTGTACAAAAACAAATATGCTCATTAAAAAAACTTTCTGGATCTTAGTAATCAAAAGTGCTTTTTTATCTTCAATTCTGACTTTTTAAATGCTGCTGAATTTTAACGACTGCATTAGATTGAAACTACATGCTGTTAACCATTGAGCCAAAATGAAATCGACCACTGCATTGAAGTCTTGAGTTGGCAGTTGTGTACAGTCTTAAAGAAGTATCTAATAACAGTTCAGCCAGGCTTCTTTTAATGGCCTTTTATATTCTCTCTTTCATTTTAATGATGCCATTCTGTTTTCTAATAAAGATGCACCATTTTATTCAAAATTCTCTGTTTCACTTAAGAAAATAGCAATAAATCTATTCTCTAGAAGTAGCATGTTCATAAAGAAATATTCTGTTGCATACTCCCCATGATAGATTATGCATTGTGCTAGCTTTATTTATAAAGCAATTTTGTGTGAAAAGATAGGTAATTTCATCATATTGCTCAGATCTTTATTCTAGGTTAAAATGAGAAAATGTATTCTTTTTTTTTTTAAGTATCTCATCCTGAGAATTCAGTTCTATTTTGGATTTCCCAACTCCCATATGAAGCTGATGTGGCAAAGAATTGCTTTCTTTAGACTTTGAATTTATATTTCTTATTAACAGGAATGGATCCCTCACAGTTCAAAGTCCATCAACATTACCATAAAGATGAAAAATACGATTTGTTTGGTGGCCCAGTTCAGCAAACTGATGAAGAAAAATATAAAGATTGCAAGAGATTCAAGTTTGCTTGTCCAAAATGTGGGACAGAAAATATTTATGATAATGTATTTCGGTACTCGGTTAGTATATGGTGTTTACAATTTTTGAACTGAATTCTCTATATTAGAGTTTCAATAGTGGACTTTTATATATTAACTTCAAATTAATTTTGCCTGTTTGTTCATGTCTTTTTGGTAATTGTGCAGAATATTTGTATCTCAGACAGCTCAGTTAATAAATTCTATTTAAATATTAATTATTCTAAAATAAACTAATTAGAAGAGATTATTTTTTTCCTGCATAATTATTTGTATTTTTACATTTTTCTTTCCTTTTATGTAGCAGTTTTATAAATATTATCTTTCCTGCTGTCTTTGTACATCAGACATAAAGATACATCGGGTAAATTCACATTCAGAAGTACTGCCAAATGTATCTGTGACCTTGATCAGAACTTGAAATAAAGCCAGCTATTTAACTCTATTGCAATGTTATGCATGCAGTAGTTATTGGCAAATTAGCAGGCTGTGGGGTAGTGAAAACCTTGAAAGTTAAAGCAAATAAATTCTTTATCAAAATTAAAAGTAATTATTTTAAGTTAATTTGGACAGACAGCAGATGTTCTGTGTTCTTTGAATCAAAACAACAGTTGTTGGAAGCGAGTGAGAGGAAAAGGCAGACAGAGATCAGTCAGTACTTGGTAAATCCTTGACTTTGTTTCATTACAGCTGTAAATGAAGATATAAGATAATAAGATAGTTACTTGCATAGAGGTTTGACAACTTACAGATGGTCTGCGTATAAAAAAAGCAGATATCAAGCTCTGTAATTTTTCCACCTAGGATTGCAATGTTTTTAGTGCAGAAATTGTTAGATTAGATCGTAAAAGTACAATTTTTAAGTAGTACTAGGAATGAGAGTCTTAAAGCCTATCTGCCATCTACAGTATTTTCTTTATTATGAATTTTTATTTATCTTAGTCTCATATCTGAGATATATATTGAAAAATCTTGGGGGGGGGGGGTGATACCAAGTTTGCAAATGTTCCAGTAATATTCAGTGTATTCATTGTAGTATGTAAAATCAATTGTTAACAAAGAAATGCTAAGATAGAGATATCACTTTGTATATTTTTAAAATGTGTTCTTGCATGAGATCCTATTGCATAGTTGCTTTCAATATGTATACCAAAATTTTCATTTTCATTTTTTATCTCCAGGGTGGAAAGTTTAAAGCCAATATGCTATGCTGTAATCCAGAAGGATGTGATGAAAATCTTTTAAATTATTTTATGCAGATTAGCAACAAGTTAATCTTGGATATAAGAGGCTTCATAAAAAAATATTACTCTGTGAGTAACTTATTTTTAGTCTGTATTTAACCACATCTTTTCCTGACTGAATCAATGTATTTAATAAATAATGATCTGGTTAAATGATGTTCTTGAAATGTTAAATCATGGTTTAATTAACCTGAAATAGCATTAGGCTGGTTTGATCCTGCCTCATATTCTATCTCCCATTCCTGATTTAGTTTCTTAAGCATCTTAGTTTCTTAAATTTCTGAACTAGGACTACTAAAAGCTTACTTCCGACCAAGATATGAGAAGACTTCTTTCTTTCATATCTTTAATTGGTGGAAGGTCTTAAATCACAGTTTTTATACTCATAGAAATTAAGACTTCAACAATCGGTATCTTTCAAGCTGTGAAAGAGTTTGGTGATTGAGGATGAGGACATATTATTATACTATTTATCCCTAATATACTGGTATCTCACTGAGATTGTATTCTCTGAACCAGTCTAACATGTTATAATTGAGGCTGGTTTTGGAAATTTAATTGAAATATTTTAACTAAATTTGAAACAGTATGCAAATCACTTTTGAAGTATTAGTATTATTTTCTGAAGTATTTCAAATTTCAAACTATGTAATAAATGATAGCATAGGGGCTTATTTATAAAATGTTACAGAAGATGCAAATAACTTTCTGCAGCAGTTTTTTTCTCATAGTGATAAAAAATCAAACCAAAGCAAGTTTTTATTATGGTCAAAGACCAGCATCCAAGTAGTGAAATGGTTGTATTACAGGTAGTTTGCATTAACAGTAGGAAAATTGTGTTTGCTATCTTAAATCCTTTTTGTCCTGTTTTTCAGCTGAAAATCAATTGCATTAACAATCATATTTCAAGTTGAATTGATAGCATAGTTCATGCTGTCAACATTGATACAAAGGAAGGAAAAGAGAAACAAACCCAGACACCGGGTATTAGTGACTGCTATTTTAGGTGCTCTTTCTGTCAATAGAAGAGTGAAACTGCTTCCTCTCTGATTTGTGTATGGGGTCATGTTTCCATGAAGTTCTTTCTGAGAGGCACCGTAGCAACCACTAAACTAAAGCTTTCCGTTAGTTCCATTTAGGACTGTAGTTTCTTAACTGAAATGTTGCAGGAGTGTATACCCACAGATTAAAATTTAAAAAAAGAGTTTTCCAAGAATAGTTGCAAATACAGACTGAACTTAGCGTAACTTGATTTCAGAAATATGGTTATAGAAGTACCGTAATATAAAAGTGGATTAAGAATAGTGCTTATAAAATAACATCTTTGGAAAAGCCATACACTTTTAGTATACACTAGTTTTGCTATTAAAAATTAATTACAGTGTCCTTTGAAATTCATTTTCTAGTCTGGCAATATATTAGTATTTAGAAAAATATACTTAATATGGGCATAGTTTATTTGGTTTATCTAGACGAAATAAAACTAATAAGACTAGACAATGGACATAAATTTATAGGATTATATGGAGCTCGGTAAATGGCAGAGAAATTATTGCAATTCTGTAGGGTTTGTGGTCTATTATATCAGTATAATTAAACCTAATGTATCAGAAATTTAGTGAACTACACTCAGTTTTCTATTTTCAAAATGGAGTTTCATTACATGTACCTCTGATGGACAAGCTTCTAACGGGGGGAGGGGCTTTTCTGTGAATTGGGCCACACATGCATCAATGGAGCCATGATTGTACGTGTGATGCAAATGGCTCCATGAGCGCCCACACAATGCTGCAATGCTCGCTCGTGTGTGTGTGCTCCCAGCAACAATAGCGCATGCGTAACACTCACAGATCACTAGCCTCTGTGCTACACCTCAATGTTAGCATGAGCGTGGGTGCCTGCGTGCACTGGCCAGCCACTTACACAGCCTGGTGGTCAACAACCCATGGCCCAGTTCTAATTCACTGAGTAGATCTGAGGAATGCAAGGGGCGAAAGTTAAAGGAAAAGCAGGGTTTTTTTTGCCATCTGCAGAAAAACATTTTGATACAAAATGCCTATTATTTAAATAATGAGTTAAAACTTAGTATACCATATTGATATACTAAGTCTTCCATCCTTCCGAGGTGAGTAAAATGAGGATCCAGATTGTTGGGGGCAATATGCTGACTCTGTAAACCTCTTAGAGAGGGTGGTAAGAGCATTATGAAGTGGTATATAAGTCTAAGTGCTATTGCTATATATACAGTGTTTATGCATTTGTGTGTGTTTTTTTACAAAATTGTATAATACCACAATTTCTGATATAGTTGCATAATAAGTGGGGAAAAGCCACTTTTTCCCCGAAGAGTGTCTTTGAACTATGCCACCAACATGTTGACCCTAATTAGGGAACAGTGTTTATTTAGAAGACTTAATGATAAAGTTTTGATTTCAATGTTTGTTTTGTGAGAATTCCAAACTGCTAAAAATAGCAATAGCAATAGCAGTTAGACTTATATACCGCTTCATAGGGCTTTCAGTTCTCTCTAAGCAGTTTACAGAGTCAGCATATTGCCCCCACAATCTGGGTCCTCATTTTACCCACCGCGGAAGGATGGAAGGCTGAGTCAACCTTGAGCCGGTGAGATTTGAACCGCCGAACTGCAGCTTAGCAGTCAGCTGAAGTGGCTGCAGTACTGCACTTTACCCACTGTGCCACCTCGGCTCTTATCATATCAGAGCTGTAATAATTTCTTAAAATGTACTNTGTTACCAAGTAAACATTTGTTTACCAATAGTGCATCCTCAAAGTAATTCCTTTGTTATTCAGTACACACATATACATATTTATTTCATATTAAAATGTCATAGAGTCAAGCTAAATGTATCTTCCACACTTGGAATATAGGGAATATGTCTGATCAGTGAGTTTCCAAAACAATTTGGCTTAATATAATTGATAAGGTTTAGGAATTGATTTTACCAGCTTACCAATTGATTTATTAATAATTCATCCTAAAAAGTGTCCACCGTTCATATATTGGTTATTTTCCATCTGAAAATGTTATTTTTAATCTAGATTGTGGTAGTATAGGTAAATTAAATAATTGTATTTGAAATTGTAACTCTTTGCCAATTAGACTATTGAGCCCATTCAATTTGACAAAATAAGTGGTAACTGTATAGATACTGAAGAAAGATTTTAGCAGTGGTTAAAATAATTATCTTTTTCCCCTGCTCTGCCCCTTGGAGGGAGGTAATGTTATTCTTAGAATACTGCATTTATGATGTTTATTCTGCCTGCTTATTATAGAAGAGATTATTATTACTAATTTAGTTAGAGAATTTTTCCATGCCTCTTAGTTTCGTCTTGCTTTAAATATTTCACAAACCATAGACGATTTTGGTGCATTGCAGCTAAGATGAAAACATGTCAGAGTCTAGCATATTTTTTTAAATATAGAAAACCATCTCTAGCATGCTTTTGTTCAAAAATTAATTACTGATGATTTAAAACATAGTTTCCAGATTATACTAAGTCAAATATATTTATATATGATTAATATTATTTGTTTAAACCAAGTGATATTTCTATACGGGGTTTTTTTTTTTTTTTGCTTTTCATGTGAAAGAAATAGGGTAATTTCACTAATATAACAACAGTGTTGTGTATAGTAAAGCTGCGATCTAGAACAACGGCCCTCAACCTTTTGAGTACTAGGGACTAGTTCCCTGAAGGAGGTTTCTCCGCGGACCAGAAGGGGGCGCAGTTTCGCATGCTACCTGCATCCCGTGGGTGGGGCTTCGCTTGTTTGCGCGTCTCGGTTTCTGTCATGCCACAGCCCAGTGCCAGTCCACAGACAGGGGGTTGGAGACCCCTAAAAATTAATTGTAGTATAGGTACTATAAACAAGTCAGAGTATATATAGAAAAAAATCTAAAATTGGCTTGAATGATTGATAGTTCTTCAAATTCCTATGGTAAGAGTTTTTAATCTTCTCTTTCCATGAGACTTACCCCAATGTTGTATTACCTCTAAACTCAATGAAAATGGAAAGTTTAAGAAAGCCATTGCAGTTCATTGAATTTTAAATGGGAATGTGTGCAAGGAGTAAGAGTTAGTTACATTCTCTATTGTTGGGTTTCCAAATATTGGGATTTATTTAAATCAAGATTTAAATCAAATCCTTAAATAGCATAACATTTGTGCTTTGTGTTTTTTAAAGCTAAAATATTGGGATTTAGAAGTATGTTTTAAAGGGAACAAGACATTTAGTGTTCTTCAGTAGTGAATAAAAACTTGATAGGTAGTGTCTCCATTCTATAAGAGTTTTGTGGATATTTTCTTACAGTATGTTGTTCTAACTCCCAGGGGCAGTCTTCAGCAAAGCGGCAAGGAAAGGTTAAAAAGGTACTGAATGCCAGTTTTTAAAAGATGTATTTAAGTATTTTTGCCTATCATTTAAAGCAATATACTTAGTTATTTCTATCTTTTAGTTACCTTTTATGCAGCTTAATTATTCATATTTTTAAACAGTAAAATAGCATATTATTAGTTTAGCATGATAGTAATGATATTCTGTGATGGAAGCATTTAATATCTTATCCTACAAAATGATCTTTCTTTTTTTTAAAAAATTACGTATAGCTCTTACATACTATTGCCATATGAAAACCACAGATTGTAAGATTGTGCAGGGTAAGGAATATTAGTACAGTACCATGGTAAGNCTTATGCAACTACTACTACTACTTGTAAATATTATAAAGAATAACTTAAGGTGGTTCTGATAAATAAAGCTGCTTCTTGAATAAGTTGTTTGATTTTATAAATTTATTATAAATCTGACTAGTGTATAGCTTAGGAAATGTAAGCAGCTTTTATCTGTTGAACTGGGAAAAGATGGGTAGTTAGATAGATTAGATAGATGGACGGGATTGATGCATCCTTGAAAAATTAAGAATCTGCTTTAAATATATACGGCCTTTTATTCTATGGTTTGGGCACAAATGCCTACCTAGCTTCTGCTAATGCATGGACAGTGATAACATCCTGTGGAATGGTGTAAGGATAGAATAAGTCGCAGCTTAGGTTATAAGTGATAGAAACATAATTTCAATGAAACCACAATCCCATGTTAGGCTATTCTGCAAATGGATAGGGTAGTATTCCATCCATTAATAACAGTCAAGCTCTTCTACAATTCTAAAAGGTTTCTGATCCAAATAAATGAACAAAAGCATAAAACTTCAAGATTTTATGTATTAACCTTGCTTACCCTGTATGAACCATTTTCTCTTAAAGCAATATAAATATTATTAAACAGATGAAATGAGAATTTCTTGGCCAAGCATTTGCCATTAAATTGAACCATTCACAGAAGCCTTTTGATGGACGGGCATGGAGGACGGTTCTACATCAGTTTGTAACTTCAGAGATTAATAGTATTGAGAGAACTTCTAGAATTGCAAGGCCAGAAGGGCAAGGATCTGCAAAAAATCAAATCTCCAGCTGAAACTCCTAATAGATTTTAGTCCCTTTTACAGATAGAAAGAACATTTTGTGCTTATGTAAGGAATGTTCAGGATCCAGTTAAGTCAAATTTAAATAGGTTATACAGAATACAAATTTACCTTTTATAAAAAATATGCAACAGGAAATAGGCATCATAAAATTTGATACTATAATTCAAGAACATAATATTCAAACCTAAACATATATTTATGTTCATAGTGGCAAATCTGTAATTTAATTTGATGAAGACTTAAAAAAGGCCTCCCCTCTAATATTAGAAAAAGAATTTAGAATTTAAGACTGGAAATACCATTTACCTTGTGATTGGAAGGGATTTGGGTAAATTTTTTTGTTAGATTTTTTCCCCAAAGAATTTAGTAAGAAATTCCCTCTCTGGATTTCAAATGTCCAAGTTTAAGTTTTGCATACTTAGCAGTGACATGCTTTGTGAAAATATTCTGCTTCAATTAGAAAGGAATAGTGTAAAGTTGAACTGGAGGAAATTTTATTGTGTGTTAATCTTCTTCATCAAATAAGTATGAGTCTAGGTACTAAAGAATTGCTCTTTTCCCTAGTATTCCCTGAAACTGGAGAAAGGAGATTATACCGTGCGACTACAAATCCGTCACGAGCACAGCAGTGAGCTGGATCGCATCAAAGACCTTCCATTTATTGTCTCCCACAGACTGTCTAATGCATTGAGTTTAGATATATATGATACCCACAGTCAGGCTCTCTTAGGGAAGAAGAAAGCAAACAGTATATCTCTGCCACCAAATCGCACACTGCCATACTTTGTTACTTCTTTGCCAGATGACAAGTAAGTTATGTTGCTTTTGTGGCACATAGCATGCAAAGCTTTGATTAGTAACTCTTCTGAACTTTCAAACTTGGGTAATTTAAGATAAAAATATTTATTTGTAACCTGTGCCTGCAGGCACTAGGATCTGCCCTAACCTTTCCTCTCCAGAAATAAATAAAAATAAATAAAAATATTTATTTCTAACCTGTGCCTGCAGGCACTAGCATCTAACCCTAACCTTTCCTCTCCAGAAATAAATAAAAATAAATAAAAATATTTATTTCTAACCTGTGCCTGCAGGCACTAGCATCTAACCCTAACCTTTCCTCTCCAGTGCCCATGTTTCCATATATTTTCTTAATCTGTCTTCCCTTAATGTATTAAATCTAAAGTAATCACTTTTTGCTAATAGATAGGGAGGCCTTCCACTGAGGATCTGTGACAGGCCTGTCA